AAAAATGTAAACCACCCTCTCCCCACCCTAACATGTAAAAGACCTTCTTATTAACCAGATCCAGCATTTGAATGCACCTCAGTCATATGACTAGCTAGAAGGTGTGGGAGGCACACACTGTGGGCACTGTTGGAGACACAGACTAATCGTCTCTGTCGTATTTTCAACAGGTGTGAGGCCAACGTGACAATCGCCTCTCAGACAAACAAGCCCATCCCAGAATGCACCATTAAGAACCGCCCCAGTCTGATGGTGGAGAAAATTAACCTGTTTTCCATGTTTGGGACGGGTATCGCCATGAGCACCTGGGTCTGGACCAAAGCCACCATCCTCATCTGGAAACGCACCTGGTGCAAGTGAGCAAGTTAACACAAACTTCTGCAAACACGTCTCTGGTGTTATGGCTATAGCAGTGAAGAGATACTGTAGGTTAGGATGATTATTTGCCCTTTTTTAATGTTCTTTTAAAATTATTAATATGTACAGTGATAACGGTGTGTTAAATGCCTGCTCTTTGTCCAAAATAACTGAAAAGTTTGGATTGTATCCCCATCACTTCAAAGTATGAAGACACGCACATGCATTTAGTCCTGTTGTGTACCCCCAGTGCATGCATTTCAGTTTGCACTGTTGATTTTTTGGGGGGTTTGCATTTTCAGTCGAGGCCAAGGCTTTCTTACTCTGTATTTTTCCATGACAGAGCTTGATTGATGATTTTAGCATTTTATCTAAGGTCAAATGGCAGCTGTTGGATTGCAAAACATTAGGTCTCAATCTCTTGCTATCAGTGGATCAGGACTGAATTTTTGTTGTCAGAAAAATTAATGTAGCCATCCGTCATTCTACTTTGCCAGGATCATCGGTCGTAGCGATAATGAACCGAAGAGGATAAAGAAAAGCAAGATGATCGCCAAGGCATTCGCGATGAGGAAGGAGCTCCACAAAGATCCAGAGAAAGAGCTGTCCTTCAGCATGCACACCGTGTCCCACGAAGGACCAGTGGGTGAGTATATCATTGAGCTAATTCAGATAAATACATCTGAGTGCAGAGATGTCATTGTATTGACCAGTAAATGGGGTTAGGGTTAGTTAGGGTTAATTTTTTTCTTCTTTTTCATAGCCGGAATCAATTTTGACCTAAACGAGCCATCAAATGACATGTCGTCAGCTTGGGCACAGCATGTGACAAAGATGGTGGCCAGGCGAGGTGCCATCCTCCCACAGGACATTTCTGTTACTCCCACTGGTACACCAGGTGAGCTCCGGAGACCATGATTCTGGCTTTACACCAACTCCCTTGAATATAAATTTCAGATCAGATGTTCTAGACCTTGGGTTTAAAAAAAAAAAAAATCGTAATCTTTACTTTCTATTATTTTGTCACAGTGCCCCCTCCAGAGGAGAGGAACCGCCTGTGGATGGTGGAGGCCGAAATTTCACCAGAAATGATAAAGAGGAAAAAGAAGAAGAAGAAGAAGAGGAAGAAGGAGGTGCGTCCGGTTGAGGAGATGGTGGACCACCAGGTTTATCGCCAGCGTGAGTTTGGTCGCAGCTCAGTGCCCCGTCTGCCCAAACTGCCTCCTCATCCAAGCCTGGTTGCCAATCTGCAGGAACAGCAGAGACAACAACAGAAGATTGAGGAGGAAGTTCTGCCTGGGTCTTACCCAGACTTCCAACCTTCGCGCCGTCTGTCATGCGAGGAGAAGTGTCCCTACCTGCAGTACCAGACCAGCCAGAATGGCTATGGCCACAGCATGCTGTCTGACCCCCTGACCTTCAGAGATCGTCCAGAGGATCTGGGTCTTTGTCCGCGTTACCCTCCCTCCAATTGGCAGCCTAGTGCGTCTTCACGCTACCCTGGAAATATGGATATCACTGATGGAATATCAGAAAGAATGGCCCACGTGGCTCGGGTACCAGCAGGCCGGAGGGCTGGTTACGGACCCATCCACTCCAGGACCAATTTAATGGAGGCGGAGCTTATGGACGCTGACTCTGACTTCTAAAATCATAGCTGAAATAGACT